AAAATTCTATTTTGCAAAATGAATAATAACCCTTATTTTTTCTGTAATTTCATTATTCCATCACTAAAATTAAAACCACTTTATACATGGAATTTCCTTATTTTTTTTGCATTCAATTAGAAGTGGGCAAAAATCTGCAATACGATATTTGAAGAGATGTCCCTCATACTAGGTCATTGATTTTTCAAGTTATTGTTGCTTTTATTTACATCCTATGGTGTATTGAAAGCATGGCGACTTGGTTATACTATTCTTATAAATATTCTCTCTGAGGAGTAGTTTAATGTTATAAATGTGCTTTGTCCTGCAGTCTTCCCAAATCTTTAATATTACAAAACCCAATGAAGCAGTTTGAAAATATTAGATACTATACTTTCTAGACCAAGAGGTAAAAATGTCACCAGATGAAGGAGAAGATACTTTTGTGCATCAATTTTCTGTATTTCCCACAGCATTCCTTCCTTTTTTATACTGAGGATTCTTATTCACATATTCCAGTGAGATATATGTATGTGATATGTATATATATATATATATATATATATATATATATATATATAAAATTATGAGTATATCTATACCTGCATATACATATACTATGTATATACACACACACATATATATATATATATATATATATATTTTTTTTTTTTTTTTTTTTTTTTTAAGAGAGAGAGAGAATGTAGAGGGACACAACACTATGCCTTTATTTTTATATGGTGCTGAGAATTGAACCCGGGTCCCGCCCGTGCTAGGCGAGCGCTCTACCGCTGAGCCACAATCCCAGTCCCCAAACATATATTTTTATAGTGTGCCATATATGTATATATGACAAAATACACATATATAAATATATATGTGTGTATATAGGACACCTGATATTTGGATTCCATCTTTATGAACCCCCAAATATCCATGCCTATGGAAATTTTATACCTTTCTAGCTTTCCCTTGAATCATCTTTTTTGTTGTTGTCGAAAAATCACACATTTCCACTATACACAGTCTGACACCAAATATTAGAAATAGCTTCAATTTCCAGAAAGATTTTCAATTAATTGGACATTGTTTATATATCAAACTTCCCAGTCACCTTTTGAAAAGTCAGTTTGTGAAAGTAATGGCATTCATGATGATAATAATAAAGGCCAAATGAGAGGCAAATGCTGGCCCCATGTGGTGGGTAAGGTCTGCTCCCGTACCTAAAACAGGTAGCAGCTTTTTCACCTTATCCTGTTTCTGTTCATGGCCTCTGCAGAATCTCAAATTACTGCAGTGGCAATTATTACTTTGGGGTCGCTGGTCAAACCTGCAAATGTATACTTGGTATTGGTTCTATGGCTGATAATATTTAAAGCTCATGTTTTTATCACGTTCCTTTCTCTCTCAAGGATGAGGAAGATAATTCATGTCTTTCCAATCCAAATCTTAAACTACTAAGTTTGTGGTAAAGTTCCCCACCGTCAAATTTTAACACTGGGCTCAGAATTCCCATTGCAAATTTACACTTGGTTTTCCAATTAAAATAGGCTTTTGTGAGTCTCCTGCTGATAGCCAATGGCTTGATAAAAAGCAACTTCATTTGCATCCTGGTCTGGGGAACCCAGTGCAAAGTTGAGTCTTCTGCAGTTGCTTTGAGCCCAGCTGTGCTGAAATATTAGACTTTAGTAAATTAGGTGAAATTGCAGCTTCCTGGCTGATACAATAATGCCCTTTTCTTTTTCTGCAAACCATCTTTGGTATTAGCTGTCTGCACCACTTTTCTGCACTGAGAGAAAATTCAGAATATCTTCCAAATCCAGACAACTCTTCCATTTGCATGATGATTGTGCCACAACTACTTATTTAACAGAGGGCTTAAACTTTCAAATATGTATAATTCTATTACTATATCATTTTAGCCTTATTTGAATACAGTATTACTTTATTTATCAAATTCAGATAAGCAATGAGGTCCCTAAAAATGTCAATCTTATGTAAAAGTAGAAGCTTTTTCTTTCTTGATTAGTATATATTTAACTACAGTGGTATCTATAAAAGGAAACTGAAAGGAGAGTGACCATGACACTCAGAGCAACTAAGAGATCTTTATTGTGGTGGTATCTGATTAACAGGGAAGGAAGAGAAAAAAGAGAAAGAGAAAAGAGAGAGTGGGGAAAGAGAAAGAAAGAGAGAAGAAAGAGTAAGAGAGAGGGAGAAAGGGCAAAGCGAGGGAGGGAGAGAGAACAAAAGAGGGAGGCCTGGCAGGAGAGAGTTTTTATAGCCAAAATCTAATGGGGTCTCTGGGTCTGCAGGCTGTCTTGTTGGTGTACAGTGATTGGATCATACAGTAACTGCTAAAGGTGTCATCTTCTGCCTCCAGGCAAATACGGCAGGGGTCAGATATGGGTTTCCATGGGTTTCAGTTGCACCATACAGGTGGGGGTCGATTGTTCAGCCTTGAGTGGGGTTGAATGTTCAGCCTTGAGTGGGGTTGAACGTTCAGACTTGAGGCAAAAAAGCGATTAGGAACCAGACAGGTGAGGGTGAGGGTCCAGTATTCAGTCCACCCTGCAGCTAATATTTGTTCAACCTGCTTCGCAACTAACATTAACCACATTTATTTTCAGCTTCTTTCTCTTTCTCCTCTGAAGAATAGCATTCGTTATAAAGTGTTTTTATTCATTGATCAAACAGTTTTTAAAAATAACTTTATTTTATTAGTTTATTTTTTTATGTGGTGCTGAGGATCAAACCCTGTGCCCTACACATGCTAGGCAAGTGCTCTACCACTGAGCCAAAAACCCAGCCCTCAATGATCAACATGTATTGGTCAGCCCCTATGTGCAAAGTTCTAGTTCGTTTTCAATCAAATATTTTTAGAGTATTTGCAAAATTAACAGAAAGGGACTAGGCAATCTTGTATTTCCCTTCTTGACATGTTGTTTTTCTTGTGACAAACTCTCTGGTGTCAGCTTTATCTGGTTCTCTAGTCTACTTGCTCCCCGAAGTTTCTTTACATTGGTCTCTTTCAGGTTAAGGCCTTATGCCTTTAAGAGACTCCGGTAGAAATCTAAATATTTTTGTTACTTTGAAAAGTAGTTCATTAATGTTAACTCATTAAAGCTTTTTAAAAGTTTCAGCTTTTTCATAATGCTTTTATAAAGCTGCTGACAAGATGGTGAAGTCCAAGGGTTGGAAAAAAATCTCCAATCTATACTAAAGTAGAATAATCTTGTGTGCCTTCATATAACCACTTTGAGGTCTGTGATTAATTGATGTTTCCCAAACATAGTTAGGTCTAAAGACTAGGAAGGTTGCTTGGGTGGAGGTGGGGGCTTGGGCAGCCCAGGGGCCACATGTAGTTGAGTGAGCTAGCTTAGGGCTGAAAGAGCTGAGACCCATTTCTAATGAAATAATTCAAGAATCTGACTAGATCCCATCATCATTGGATGACTCTCCAGCAATAAATGAGAAACTAACCATTTCAATAAATGACATGGTCTAAGCCAAGACGATCTAAACCAGGAATCTTAGTTCCTGCTGCTATAACAAAAGTATCATAAACTAAGTGGCTGACATAACAGAGATTAATTTTTCAAAGTTACAGATCAGGATATTACCATGGCCAGGTTCCAGTGAAAACACACTTCTTGGTTGGCTGATAGCAGACCTCTACTGGAGATTGAACCCACAGGCACTTAACCACTGAGCCCCAGCCCCAGCCCCAGTCTGTTTTTTTTTAAAAATTATTATTATTTTTTTATTTTGAGACAGGTTCACTAAGTGACTCAGAGCCTCATTAGTTTGTGATCCTCTTGCCTCAGCCTCTTGAGCGGCTGGGATTACAGGTGTGGCTTACCTCACCATGCAGAGAGGACAGAGAGAGAGAGAGAGAGGATGGGGTGGTGGTGGCATGGGTGGGGGTGGCGTGGGTGGGGTGTGGAGAGACAACCAACCCTTTCCTGCCTCATCTTTTAAGGGTTGTCACCCATTGTGAGAAAACTACCCTTATGACCTCCCAAAGGCCCTATGACCCAACCCATCACATTGAGGATTAAAGTTTCAACACATGAATTTTGGAGGGATACCAACATTCAACCCATAGCAGCAATACAAGAAAAACTTTGTAGACCAACTTAGCAGTTTATTTGAGCAAAGAGTACACATAAACCAGGTATCACTTAGAATCAGAAGTGATTGAGTGAGCTGAAGCTTGCAGTGTGAGCGAGCATCAAGCTTTTATTGGGGAAACACAGAGGCTTAGTAGAGAAATCACCTGATTGACTGGCTATATCTAGGTGGCTGCCTTATTTGGGTGTGATGTGATGAGTTGGCTGTCTATGATTGGCTAAAACCTGGTTGCCTGTGACCGGCTAAAACTTAAAGAGGTCTTTATATTCGTAAATCAGGTTCCTTGTTAGGTAGGCGCTAAAAGTACAGAGAGAGCCTCAGGCTAATGGGCTCTTTAACAGCAGAAGGCCAACTTTTTCTGGAACTTGTCAGATAGGATATGGGCTTTGAGGGTTACAGGAATCTCTGTCACCTCTCCTCAGTTCTGCTCTTGTAGTGCCAAAGCAACCGTAAGTCCCACAGCCTTATATGGTCATGGATAGTACAGAGTAGCGTAAAGTAGTGGACACAGGTGTAAGTGTTCTAATAAAACTATTTACAAAAACCGGCAGGGAGTGGATTTAGTCCTCGCCCATCCCTGAAGATTTCCTAGTCTCTGGTATCAATGAGTCTGCGTTTAAGAAGGGGAAGTTACTGTTTCCATCCAACCTCCAAGTCCTGGCAGCCTTTAATGTGTGGGAGGATCCAGTAGAGCGACTCCACAGTTTTCGAAGTTTCTGAAGTGGGCCCTTTTTTTCTTTCCTCTTTCGCTCCTCCAAGTCCTTCCTCTCCACCGCTGCGACACAGACCCAGTTGTGGTGTGATTAGGTGGGCTGCGTGGGCTTCAGAGGAGCCAAGCGGGCACTCAGAAGGTGGTGAGGGCGCGGAAAAGTTGAAGCCCAATCAGCATGGAGTTGAGCTCCGCGTCCCAACCTTCAGGTGACCCCGCGCGGTGGCGGCAGAGGCAGCGGCGGCTGCAGCGACCAGAGCCCGCAGCAGCTAGGAGCGCCTCCGGGAGGACAGGCGGCGAGCTCGGTGAATCGTCATCTGCCAGTGGAGCGCCGAGCTTCGGCGGGCCGTGGCTGGGTGGGAGAAGAAAGAGCCAGGACACAGCTTCTTTTCTCTCCCCGCCAAGACTGTGCAGGCTGGGCTCAGGGCGCCCAGAGTGTGCGGGCCCTCGCTGCGCGCTGTTGTCGCCCCTCGCCGCCGCCTTTGAACACTGGGGGTGTGCGTGACTACGGCCGTGGTGGCGGCGGCGGCAGCGGCGGGAGTAGCGAGCTGGGGCCGCCCCGGCTACGCTTCGCCCGGGCATCGGCGGCGGCGGCGGCGCCCATGGCTCAGGGTACGGCCAGGGTGCGCGCTGCTCTCCCTGCTCTCCAGCCTGCTACTACTGCTGCTGCTGCGCCTGCTCTGGTGCCCCATCGACGCGCCCGCCCGCTCCAGGTAATCCCGGGCCCCAGCCGATCGACCTGCGGGTCCCGCGCATCCTTGCTGTGCGCCCCGCCGTGCGCCTCGAGAGCTCTGGGCGCAGATCGGCTTGCCTTGGGCGCACAGACTTTTGGTAGCTAGGGGAACAAGCCGAGGGGCAGCAGCTGCCTGAGGAAGGGGTGGGGCAGAGGAGTGACTCTTGGATCCGTGGGCATTGCCATGGGTGGTGAGGGACCTGTCAGGGTGATGGGGGCTCCAGTGTGCGTCGCTGTGGGTGAGACAGCTGCGGAGCAGGACCTGCCGTCGGGTTCCCTACAGCCTCCCGGGCTCTCCATTCTGGTCTTTGCTATCCTTTCCTACCCTTCCTAAGGCATTTCCAACTCCGTGCTTGGGGAACTGTCCCCCGAGCCGGGGTGCGCAAAGATGCCCTGGCTAGGCTTGGAGCGCAACGCACCTGCCAGCCAACAGCTCCCCCGCGATGTGTGACAACTTAGTTTTTTCCCCTGGTGCAGGCTTTTGGTGGACGAAAGCGAGGAGGATCCCCAGGGCACCTCCCCAGCGCTGAGGATGCTCAGGAGCCCTGCGCCCCCGGTACCGCGCACCACGAACAGGTACGCCCGAGGCGCGAGGGACTGGCGGGCGGACTCCTGGGCCACCAACTAGCTTGAGCTGTCAGCTTGGGATGACATGATTGAGTGTGTGTGTGTGTGTGTGTGTGTGTGTGTGTGTGTGTATTACTCTGAGAAACTCTTGATGCTCACTCAACCTTTGAAAGCCTGCCCCTCTATGTGAGTGTTGAGTGGTGTTTGGAAACCCCCTCCCCCTAGAGAAGTCGCTTCTCCTTTTTGAGGGATTAGTTTTTTGTTTTTTGGGTTTTTTTTTTCCTTCTATGGTTTAAAGTGTATCATTATTAAGATTCAGGTTTGGAGGATTGGAATTCTTGGGTGTGCTGTAAACGTTTTTCTCCTTGGTGAATGAAGACTTAAATTTTTTCCTTTATCATTCATATGAATATTTAAACAGAGACAAGAGTGATTCAGGTTTTCTATTTTTTTTCTGATCATAAAAATAATACAACTCAGAAAATACAACAGGAAAAATATATAAAAGAATATAATTCACTAAGTCCCAGCACCCAGAGACTGTATTCATATTGGTTTCTTTTCTTCTAGTGGTCTTTGCCATATACACATATTTTTTAAATACAGTTTAGATTGTATTTTGTACTTTGTGTTCCACCTTTCCCCCTAAACAGTCGTAGACTTGTGTACATTTTATTAATTTTGTCCTAAAACATTGCTTTTGATTATTGTATAACCCATCATATGAATAGTTCCTAATTTATTTAACTATCTTCATTTTTAGACATTAAGGTTGTTTCCTGGGGTTTTTTTTTTGGGGGGGGGGGTTGCTATCAAAATTCTATTAAATCCATCCTTGTTTGTATATCTTTGTTTCAAATTAATTCCCCAGAATGAACTGATAGAAGTTGGATTATTAAGTCAAAGAGTATGTGCATTTAAGGTTCTAAATCACATTTCCAATTGCTTACTAGAAGGATCAAATCCATTTATGCTTTCACTAACAGAATGTACTGCTTTATTCCTCAGCATTGCTATTATTATTATTGCAATCTTTTACCGTCTCACTTCTTCATATCTCTTGTGAATCCCTTTTCCTCTATTTATCTTCCTGTATTTCTTGGCTCTTGGATCACCTTAATCTTCTGATTGCCTGGCTGGAGGCTCCCTCCTTTGTGGCTCTGGCTTGGCACTATGAAAGTCCAGAAGTACCTGGAAGAGACTCCAGAGTGAGGAACAGCACTGCCAGACCCAGTCCCCTGTTGAATGTCATATTATACTAGAGGCACTAACAAATTCTGAATTAACAAAAGCTTGTGAGAAAAATGTTGGCCTATAGTTTTATTTTATGCAGTTTTGTGTGTGCAGATGGGTAGCTTTTCAATGAACTGGGGGAATTTCATTTTCTTCCAAGTCTTTTGACTATTATACATCCTGAGGTTTCTGCTTTGGGAAAGTTTGAAAGCATGTGCTCATTAAATGATCTGGTCCCAGGTCTTCGAGTGTGTGTGGTGTGTGTGTGTGTGTGTGTGTATGGTAATTTTTGATGAGTTTTACAGCAGTTTATTTTGGCACACTTTTTTTCCATTTGGCATACTTCTTGAACTAATATAGGTAATTAATTCATATTTTTTTGAGTGTGGTCAATTTTTTTCATTTATACCATAGTGCTGTGTTAGTAGAAATCTCTTTGCCCTTTGATCTGTTTTATATCCCCTTTATCGCTTTTAATTTTGATTACTTATGTATCAGGGGAACAAATTTTAAATCACCGTACTACTTGGTTGTATAGAGAAATTACAATTTCTTATTCTGTAGCTGGTCTGATCTTCCTCATTAGTGATACCAATAAGAGGAGCCCCAAATGAATGAACTCTTCTTATGGGCCAGACACTTATCTATACCCTTTATTAACTCTTTTAATCCTTAGAAATAGTAAGAAAAACCTGTTTCATTTTATAGGCAAGGAAACTGAAACACTGAGAAATTAAGTAATTAAGTAATTACCCTAAGTTATAGATTTCCAAACTGTGCTACTCGGAATCAAATCCATGGACCCGGAATCCCACACCTAATCTCTCTGCAGTGCAGCGTTTTATTGGTGCAGGGCCAGTTGGTGTACGTACGAATCCTTAAAACTCTTTCTGGTAATATTTACTCTGTTAACAAATTATTCATATCTCACATTGCTGCCAATATATCCTTTCACTTAAAAATGACATCTAGGTGGGTGTGGTGGTACTCACCCATAATCTCAGTGACTCAGGAAGCTGAGGCAAGAGAATCCAAAGTTCTAGGACAGCTTCAGCAACTTAGCGAGTTCCTGTCTCTGAATGAAAAATAAAAAGGACTGGGGATGGAGCTCAGTGGTAGAGCCTATGGTTCAAGATCATGGTACACTTTAACTCCTCTGGTCTCAGGAGTGATGTTATACCTTTTCTATCTGGTAGACAGGCCACCTTTCAATAGCCAGGTATGAGATTCCTTCCGCTTGGAGTTCATTCTTTTTTGGTCAGGCATTACACCTGTTAGTACTTCCTAGTTATCTGAGTGCCCACTGATGCTATAAGGAATCTGGTGAAGGGTTTCTGTGGATCCTTTTCTAGATTGTCACTTTTTTGACCTTTGCTACAATACTATCTCTCTCAGCTCTAGCTAGCTAGTTCCACAGTCTCTTAGCCTTTTAGGGGAACCATCTAACCTAACCATTGTTGGTTCAAGAAACTAAATATCAGGGCCTCCCTCCCTTGTGCTCCACCAAGATGGGACCCCACTCACAATTAATTTCAAAATAGGGGACTGCTCAAGAGGTGATCTGTTTCCAGAATCTTGATAGGAGGATGCAAAAACCTCCTTTCCCTCTGTTATTGTCCTTGATGTTATCGTGTTATGGCCCCCACCTGTTTCTCTCCAAACCCAAACTCTCTTCTACCTTTTTGTTGCTTCCTCTCACCTGTACTCCATGATAGGAATGTGCCGGTTCCCCTCTGCTTCATATTTTGTCATGACTCAAATACAAGCTTTAATGGCAAATTGTGGGGGTCAGGGGGAAGGAACTGGGAAAACTCAGGGAACAATGTCTTCTTCTAGGTCATGTGGTTAGTGTGTTAAAGGAGGGGAATAGGAGAAATCTCTTGGAGCTGAAGCAAATTCTATTTTGCATTGTCTAGAGTAGAATATTACCTTATACTTTCTCTTTGCATTCTTTCTTTATAAAAAAAGTCTTATTTTCTCCACCAACCCCCAAAGATGTTTCTAAATGCTTCTGGAAGACTCATGTATTAAGAAAGACAGAAAAGCCCAGCAGCTTCAGAGGCTGAGGCAGGAGGATCGCGAGTTCAAAGCCAGCCTCAGCAAAAGCCGGGTACTAAGCAAGTTAGTGAGATCCTGTCTCTAAACTCAGTGGTCAAGTGCCCCTGAGTTCAAACCCTGTACCCTTTCTCCCCTCAAAAAAATAAAATAAAATAAAATAAAATAACAAAAGAGAAAATATATTAATAATTTAAAAAATATTATCCCATTACAGTGGATTTTTTTCTCTTCCAGATAAATTGCCAAAAATCTGTCATTGTCAAACAAGAAGTTTTTGGATTTAGATCTTAACTCTTGTATCTCCATATTTCCTTTATGTTACTTTTTTATTTTAAAATATCATTTTTCCCCAGTGTAATGTCTTGTAGTGCCTGCTTGATTTATTTATGTAATTTCCTCCTTTTCCTTTGTAAAAGGATATTTAATACTATGAATTTTCCTTTGAATAAAGCTTTGGATATTTATTTACTTTTAGGTACTAGGGATTGAACCCAGTGGTGCTTTACACTGAGTTCCATTTCTATCCCTTTTTACTTTTTATTTTGATACAGGGTCTCACTAACTTACTTAGGGTCTTGCTAAGTTGCTGAGGCTGGCTTTGAACTTTCAATCTTCCTACCTCGTCCTCCCAAGCTGCTGGGATTACAGGCATGTGCCACCATGCCCAGCTCCATTTATTTATTCATTTATTTATTTGTATTAGGAATTGAACTCAGGGTCTCCTGCATTCTAGGCAAGCAGCTCTAGACTAATTCCTTAAATTTGAATACATGGTATCCATATTTAAATATATATATATATATATATAT